CTAAACCACTATTATCTGCCCCCAAATTCTTACAATAAAAAAATAAGCCGTAAAAAACGAATTATAATGAAAATACTGATTAGTTACATAGGCATATCTTTTAGATTTATTTACATTCTCTGGAATATAAATGTATTTAAATTACAGTAACCACAAAGTGAGGGATCAGATTATTTATTGATTGTAATATAGAACTGATCACGTATTTTATATCTACATTATAGTTTCTTGTTTGTCTATCAAATTCTGATTATGTAGTAATCCACATCTTCCCCCCCAGGTATGGGTTAATTAGTAAAAATTCTATCAATAAACCATTATTATCTGAAAAAAATTCTTACAATGTAAAAATATATTCTGGTTTTAAATAATCTGCAAAGGATTGATGAGCTGCAGAAAATGAATTAATCAGTTATTTTATGAATTAATCAGTTATTTTTATAGAACATGTTAAACCCACTTTAAAATACCGTCTCTTCTGGTGAAAGATATTTAATGTGGCTTGTATCTTTTCTATAATAATTTCTCGAATTTTGAGTCTTTTAGAAAAACACAATAAAAAATTAAATGGACAGTCTTCGTCGATGTTTCTGTGAGAAATCGCGTCGTCAGGTGTTTTTACTATATATATATATATATATATATATGTGTGTGTGTGTGTGTGTGTGTGTGTATGTGTTGATGTATATGTATGGATATATAACATTAGACTTAATGAATAACATATACCTACCTTACAGAAAGCCCGATACTAATCCTTTGTATGTACACCCCAGGTCAAATCATTCTCTCTCTATAATTAATCACATACCTTCATCGGTTGACAAAAAGAATTAGTAGAAATTCCGCAAATCAAGAAATATTCTATAAACATAGTAATTTTTACAACTAAGCTCTAAAAAAATAGTGTCTACAGAAACCATAACATCAATTATATAAAAAAATAACAGTACAAACAAAAAGAAAAAACAGAAAAAGAAAAATCATTTGGTACATCCACCACCCCCGTTCAATCAAATGGTGATAAGCTAGGACAAAAATTCTTAGCTTTAATCGAAAGACATTTTCTTAATAACAGTAAATTCGCAAAATTTTTGATAAAAACAACCTAAAATTAAGTTACAACAGTAATGAAAATTGTGAAAGGATTATAAAAAAATAAAATAATAAAATAATGAAAAAATACGCATGCCAAAATCAAATAAAATAAGATTCTAAAATGAAATTAGACAATAATAATGAAAAATTATGTAATTGTAGAAACCCTGAAAATTGCTCTTTGAATAAATTCCGTAGTATACCAATGCATAATCTCATCCAATGAGAGCCCAAATATGTAAAAGATATATATATATAGGATACACAAGAAATGAATTTAAAATGAAATGGAGACAACACAAAAGTTCCTTCAATAATATTAGAAACTGAAACCAAGCATCCCTATCTAAATATTTTTGGCATTTAAAATTGTTATATTCCGTGCTAATGGGAATATAGAATAGGCAAACACGGCGGATAAATAGTAACAGGTTTATTGTAGAAACCAGTACAACAAACAAGGAAGTAATAGTTATGCGCATGGTCGTCGCAAGACAGTACAGTTGTGAGCGTGCTGTTATCGGAAGGCTGCTAGTCTCGCAGATCCCAGCTCGACACTCTCGTCCGCATGTCTTCACAGATACCTATTACTACCTATAGTACCGACACTCATGGGAGTCGCAGTTTATTCCATTACATCAAAAATGGACAAATAAAACACCAACAGTAAAATGGAAAATAATAAATAGGACAAGAACTTGTAGAACCTGAGATGGCCCATGCCCTTTATACATGAAAAACTACACTAAAAAACAAAAACTTATTAAATCAAAGAAATGAAATAACGTTCTTTGCAGACACCGCCAAATATACGCCTTAAAAAATGACAACTGCACTTGACAACTTGGTCCGACAATTGCTATATCTTGCCACTCGCGAAAAGTTCTTTTCCCCCCACTTCAACCTATAACTCTTTTCATCTATATTTACAATCTCACTCCACCTCGCTAGTAATAATAGACCTGTCTAACGCTTTTAATTTGATTAAAATTTAAAATTTAAATTTATTTTCATAAAATGTTTCGCACATCGACATTTATATTGATATATAACTAAACTTTGTTGACTGGTAGGCAATACATCCTTACAACAAGGTGGGGGGAGGGGAGAGACTTTTTGGTAGTAAAAATAACAGCATTAAAACACTGTATAATATAATTAACAATTCTGTCTGCATATTTTTGACTCCCGGGACTGATCCACGGTAGTCTCACGTAAACATGACACTTAGAGGGATCATATCTTTTAGACTCATTGAACTTAATTTGTTCAATGGTAGATGTCAAAACACATTCAGGGTAACCATTCATTAATAAAAGCTGTTTAATTTTCTTTAGCTCAGTGTTGAGTCTGCATTCAGAGCACAACATCAATGCACAGTGAGTAAGGGTACTAATAAGATTAATTCTCCTGCATCTGGGTGCAAAAGAATCCCAAGTTAAGTAAAGCCCAGAAAAAGTGGGTTTACGATAAACACTGGTAAGAAAGCCCAAATGTGTTCTCTCAACCATTGAAGAAAGGAAGCTGATTATTCTCTTCTATCTCTATTGTATATTTTAGAAAAAGATGGAGATTATTAAGCTGAGAAAAAAACTCTTTCGCTTTACTCAAAAACGTTAAGGTGTCATCCACATAGCGGAAGAAGCAATAAGGTTTATTAATCTTATTAAAGAGTTGTTTCTCATGAAAGCCAGCAGAAATGTTGGCCAACAGAAGACCCATCGCTAGTCCATCTATCTGTTGATACATGCAATTGTCAAAGCTGAAGGATGCAGAATTCGTAGCCATCCCCATCAACTCAAGAAATACACTCTCAGGGAAAGATGGAGTTGTTACAGGACCACGATACAAAAAGTCCGCACAGATCTCTATTGTTTCATCCAGTGGAACATTAGTGAACAGACTAGTTATATCGAACGATACGAAAATCTTAGTATTAGAATTTTATTTCAGTTTGCGCATATGATCAGCAAACTGAAAAGAATCAGACACATAATACTCAGAATAGAATACTAAAATAGGTTCGAGAACTTCGTTGGGCCACTTAGCCAATTATGCTGGGCTGAACCCAACATGAACAAAATCGGCCTTAGTGGAACATCCGTTTTATATATTTTCGGTCATCCATACATCCGAGGACGTTGGGAGCCCACGGGACGGATATTATTATAAACTTCTTTCGATAGAAATTTACTTTCTATGAAGTTTCAACAATCTCTTCTGTAATCGAAATTCGGTTTTTCAAGTATCGTCACAAGTGACATATCCAATTTTCCGAAACTTACTACTATCATTTGTATAAACATGAAAATGTCTTAAAATAATTGTCGGACTTTGTCCATTTCATAATGTGTGACGTCATTTGTTTACATTTGGATACGCTTTTAGCAGATATGAATGTACGTGAGAGATTCATGGAAGATTGTAGTTTAAAAGCAGTAAAATCGACCTTGCAAATCGAACGATCCTATGAAAATTTCTCGGACATTCAGGCCGGTAAATGTTATTAATACTGTTTATTATAAACATTTAAGCATTTACTTAAATATTTGTATCTATAAAAAGAATGTATAAGCATAAAAATGTCTTAAAATAATTGTCGGGCTTTGTCCATATATATATATATATATATATATATATATATATATATATATATATATGATGAAATATAGTCTTAAGGTGTGCTATATTTATGGGACAGAGCGTGTGTAAATATAAAAGTGAACATAGAAGTCAACACTTAGAGGCGACAGTCTGTTTCATGCTAGACGCAATCATCAGGCCACTATATATATATATATATATATATATATATATATATATATATATATATATATATACTATACATATATATATGTAGCAGCCACGGAAAGTTATTTTCCAAGCCAGTTTTCATGATTAAAGCTTATTAAACTATCATTTATCTTAATGGCAGATAAATTGTTTTGGTCAAAGGTCCTACGCGTCTTTATTGATTATTTCCTTTAGTCTTTCAACAAAGAGTTAAATTTAACAAAAGTCATTTTTATTTAAAGGTACTCCTTACTAAGACCCACAAAGATAGTCAGGGTCGTATAAAAAACTGATAGACTTGTTACCTTGGAGTCTATAAAATAAGGATTCCCAAAATAAATGTCACCCTCTATTAGTAATTTGTATTTTTTACAAACTATCTTGACTGTTGCCTTGATGAGGTATGACAAGCAAAAAGAAACACTAGTCGAGTATTACCAGACCCTTGCTCGAGGGTTAGAATCTACGGACATTATTGAAATATTTTCTGATATTTTGGAAAGAGTCATTATCATTCCAATAATTGTTTAGACAATTAGTCATTCTTTTTGTTGATTTTGTTGTTATCACGGCATTTGGACAACTCTACTTTGCTCTGCTCTACGGCCTTGTTCTGTGTTATCCATTTGAAAAGGTTGCTTTTATCGAGATAACGCAAACCAGAAAATCCAGACAGATTATACACCTAAAGAAGGTTGTAGAACAGATCGGCCAGAACGTGATGATAAAAACAAAAATAACCAACCTAACAATTACAGAAAATCATTATTTATTTATTTTAAGGGCAGACAACTTGAAAAAACAATAAAACAAAATAACGCTATTTAGCGTTTTTCAGATTTTTGTTATTTGCCGCATGGTCACAAGGAATGGGCGCTTAGTAAGGATTGAACTCATTAACAATAATTTTCAATACCAGCTTGCTAACTATTGCACTATGATGAGTAACCCTTTAGAAGGTCTTTGTTGACTGGTTAGGATTATTTGCTTGTGAAGGAAATGGAGTATAACAAAGCGGTATTCTCTACGAAGTACATCTCGCGATAACAGGCAATGAGCTTTTGCAGAGAAAATTGTTTGTATAGCTGTATTAGCAAAGAATCATCGACATTCGCAGATGCTTGTAGGCGAATATACGTGCAACCGGGTGCGCATGCGTTCGTGTGTAGGAGAAGAATGCGAGATATGAACAAAAATGGCGGCATCTTCCACAGGAGAGTGATTCGAGGAAGGAAGCAAGTAACGCTAATGGGTCAGTGAACAGCTTTCATTCTGTTTCAACAAATAAGAAGAATGAAAAGCGAAATACTACTGGAAAAGAACAATCATTTGTAAGAATTTTTGCACATATGCAGGGAAGCCTGATTATTAAAACCACTACACACACACACACACACACACGCGCGCGCACACATTCATATAAAGCATTCCTAATTATATATATATATATATATAAACCCTGCATATATATCATGTATTCTTAGTGACTCTCTTCATCAGAATTTTTTGCTGTAATGAAAAGATTTAAGAAAAACAGCGCATCTATTAACATACACATATATATTATTAAAATTACTTCACGAGTCTTAGCAATAATAATATAATCATGATTCTTAGTAAAATATGATAATATATATATATATATATATATATATACGTGTGTGTGTGTGTGTGTGTGACAGGTAAATAATCTGGAGTTCCTTAGTATTTTTGTTTTTATTTTTAAGAAGACAGTCACACCTTAATTCAACTTAATTTTAATAATTATATTGATGGTTTCGGCTCTCGTTTTTGAAACATGAGAACTCTTATGTAGCGAAGGAATCATATTTTTACAAAAATATTATAATATATATATATATATAGAGAGAGAGACAGGGACAGAGAGAGAGAGAGAGAGAGAGAGAGAGAGAGAGAGACAGAGACAGAGAGACAGAGAGACAGAGAGAGAGAGAGAGAAATAAAGATTTTCCACGTATCCTTCTTACAAAATGTCGGTATGGTAGACCGATGAAAAAAAATTTGAAACGACATAATAATAATAATAATAATGATAATAATAATAATAATAATAATTTTTCCAATTGTTTGCATATTTGATGAGGAATCTTTCAAGGAGAATCCTTGTCGCTACTTTTCTTCTGTCTGTCCTTAATCCTTCTTACGCATGATCTAAACAGTAATAATTATGGATACAGAGTAAAAAAAAGAAAGCGTTTAATCACCTATTCTACATGGATAATATCAAACTTTTTGTCAAAGTTTATCCTCAATACTGTAAAATGTTTCAGTGATGACATAGGTGTGGATTTCGGATTAGGAGAAATTTGTAAAAATAACATTCAAGAAAGGGAGAATTACAGAAACCCATTCAATAGATCTAGATTTTGTCACAAAAATTAAGGAAATAGAAGAAGCCTTTAAAGACGCAGGAGTCAGTGAAGGAGATGGAATACAGCAGACTCAAATGAAGGAGAAAGTAAGAAAAAGAATCCTACAGGCGTGTGCGTCTGGTGTTAAATACCGAGTTGAATTCATAAAACAGAACATCAGCCATAAGCTTTCCATGTAGTGCAATACAGTTTCAACAGTTTTAATTGGACCATAGCTGACATTAAGCGAATGAACATCAAAACGAGGAAGCTTCTCATTTCCCACTGCATGCATCATCTGAAGGCTGATGTTGAATGTGTCTATGTATCCATATACAAAGGAGGCAGGGGATTAGTTCAACTAAGTCTTACAAAACTACAACTATCAGCCTTCAAAGATACCTGGAAACTACAGAAGATTGGATGATGATTTGTATCAAAGAACATGAAAGAAATAAGAAAGTTTATTCAGTAATAAAGGAAGCCAACAAATTCAAAAGGGAATTTCAAGTGGATGAAGAAGTGCAACTAAACCATAATACAACAACTGCAGCGGCAAAGGACCTAAAAATGAAAGCAACATCAAATGCAATATAATAAATGCAGAAACTATGGCAAAATAAGCCTCTTCATGAACAATACTCTGCCTGTATCAAACAAGAATGTAGACAAACCTTGTACCCATAAATGGTTACATAGGGCATGGTTAAAAGCTGAAACTGAAAGTTTTATTCTTGTTACACAAAACCAATGCTTGCTAACTAGAAATTACCAAACATACATACGGAACAATTCTGTGAGAAGATTCTGTGAAAAATATCCAGAAACAAATGACAACCCACAGTGTTAATATCCAGTGAACATAAAATTCGGCATGATAGAATGAGCCAATATCTTCACTGGAAAATATGCTACTTTTATGGGAAGGCAACTGCAAGAAACATACCCAGACCCGGTTACAAAAATAGGACCCGTAACCACTCTAAGGGATTTACAATACACATAGACAGATCAATCAAATCTAATTACCCAGACATCAAAATCAAAATGTGTGCCTCCTTATTGACATGACAATCCCTGCAAATTGTAAAGTATCTTTGAAGATCTTCAAAAACTATCAAAATACAAGGATCTTGAAGTGGAAATTTAAAAAATGTGGCACACGAGGACATCAATAATTCCAGTTGTAGTTGAATTCCTCGTATTGATTGGAAAAGGTTCTGATAGATTCATTGAAGGGATCCCTGGTCGCCAGTGCCTTAAGGAAATACAAAAAAATTGTACTTATAAGTACAGTTCACACATTACAAAGAGCTTTATCTATGTAAAATGTGTGTGATGTTAGGTTTTTCTTTTTTACAAAAATGATCAGTGGAAAATATCAGGAAGATATTTCCGAGCTTAGGTCTCTGGTTGGGACCCGGAAGGAAATGTGCATACAGCAGAAATCAAAGGAAATAATAATGATAATATTTGTTGTATATTTTTGGACAATTAGACAAAATAGAAGCACGAGAAAAATATTAAATATGGGAATTTTCGGATACGTCTGTGTTTTTTTCTCAACAAAAAAACTCGTTAGACTATTTTGGGGAGAATTTATTTATTGTACATTTATTTATTTTATATTAAGAGCTCGTGAACATTAGTGAAGGATTGACCCTTGGATAGAAGATACAGAATTATTTGAGTCAGTCTATATTTTTTTAGGATAATGATAATTCTATAGGATAATGATAATTCTATAGATAGAGCTAGTAAGAAACAAGTTAGTCTTAAAGAAAATGGCAACAAAAAGAGCACTTCTGCTCAGAATCAGGAAGAGACAGCCGAAAATTCTTGGCAAAATAATGAGGAAGGAGTGCTCGGAAATCTTGACCCTCACAGGACATATAGAATGCAAGAGAGATAAGGGAAGACAGCGAGCCACCTATCTGATGAACTTGTATGAACAGATGCTGGAATGGAGGACGGGAACCTTAGCAAAGGGAGAAAAACTGCTAAAGACCACAAAGGACAAGAAATTTTCGAGAGTCAGGGTAGAGCGTGTGTCATGAAGTAGGGAGACACATAAAAGATGAAGCTAGGGAATCTAAGGGTCATTTTTATGATTTCAAAACCCCGCCGTCACTTTTTGGTTAGTTGTCTGTTAGATTAGGGTTGTGGAGGTTATATATATATATATATATATATATATATATATATATATATATATATATATTCAACATTCAACATAAAATTAAATAAATAATATATATATATATATATATATATATATATATATATATATATATATATATATAGTACAGGTAATCAATCTGTTGGTATATAATCCGGGTGGATCCTAGTAAATTTTAATTATTAAAACTCATCTACATAGAGCTCGATTTATTTATTATAACAGAACATGTATTTTTACAGCAAAAAAAACAAAAATTACCTAAACATGGTATAGTCTATTTCAAGCCGTTCTGTACGCTGCTATCATCAGCCCCTAAGTGTCTGTCTCGGAGCATTGTTTTAAAATTATTTTCAATGTCAGTCCCCCTCTGGTAGACGCCTTGTTAATGAGAATGGGTTTGTGTTAGCGACTGGTTGGGGCGTAAGATATCTTATCGCGGAGGCAACAGTCTGGGCTTGGAGTTTATTTATGGCTTGGGCATTTCGTTGTTTGTAGTTTAATATCAGTTATGTGGCGTTTCTTATACAAGCCCCAAGTGTGTTTTTCTGGGATTCACAGTAAACTGTTTTTGTAATAAAGGTGTCCAATATTATTAATAAGCGATGGGGGATTTAAACTTAAACCCGTTAAGATTAATGTAAATTAGTTGAATTATAGATTTATAAATCGTGTGTAATACCAGAGCACCCAATGGAATAAATTATGCTGTCCAACACACTTATATGCGTACATATTTGATCTTAACGTTTATTCCAAGTTAATTTCAATAAAAACAAAATAAATAGAATGACATATGTATTTTTCTTTTTTCCTCAAAATTTTTATAACTTTAAACTTAATATAGATTGAATTTAAATTTTAGAATGGGTAATTTTTAATTTTTAATTTCAAATTTCATCGTATAATTTAATATTTATTAGAATAAATTCTATTTTAGCCTAACCCCGACATTAAAGCATTAAATAATTATTATAATCTTAGTTCGTTGTCAAGTTTTTTGAATTCTCGTATACTTGTATTTTGATTGGTCATTCAGGCTTATGTAACAGCGTTTCCCCTTAACGAGGGGTATTTGACTGATTTGAACTTTTTGAAAATCCTTTATTCTACATTCAAAACCATCACTTGATAAGACACCAGAAGTGTTGAAACAACATGGCTATTTTTGTAGTGATTTTATAACATATTTATGTTATAATTTTCGAATAAATAATTTTATATATATATATATATATATATATATATATATATATTTAAGTTATGAAGAACTTGGTAATCCGTATGGGTAATCCCAAGGAGGATGAAATCCTGAGAGCTCAATGTAAATCCAGAGCTAATATATATATATATATATATATATATATATATATATATATATATATATATATTCAGTTGCATGGATAGTAGTTTGTAAATTTGGGTCTCACGCTTTAAACTACTACTCATACAACTGAATATGTTAGCTCTATCGTGGATATTGTGCACTTTCCACTAAGTAACGCGTATATATATATATATATATATATATATATATATATATATATATATATATATATATACACGAATGGGTACTGAAATATTCTTGGCTCGACAAAAAGTAAAATAGTACGTCTAAATTTCTGATTATTTGATTAACTTTTCGAAAGTAGGGCGAGCTGAAAAGTTCTCAGCTCACTTCGTGCGCAATAGTCTTAATAATAATAGTAATAATAAGAAAAAGAAAAAATAATAATGTTATCTTATCGGTTCATGATTGTATCGTCTACTAAAAACATTTCTACGAAAGAATTTGATAAGCTCTCCAAACATAAACATATAGATCTTATAAAAACGTGGCATTTAAACACAACCATTATTCCAGTAGTTGTATGATTCAGAAGTATACAGATACACACATTAAGAAAATCCTAGAAAAGCCATATTTATCTGAAATAGAATATTGTGCTAATGTGTATTCCGCACATACTTCGAAAGACTTACAAAAAAAAAGCTTTCATTTATTTTAGGCCTCAGCTGAAACATTTGATAAATGATTGTATCAAACAGCAAATCAAAAAACAAATAATAATGAATGTCTTGCTACACTAGTATGCCTCACATCGTTTCTGATCTTAATTGATTAGAGGTGTTAACATCAAGATGTTTTGTCTTTGTGAATTAAGATGGATTCCAATAAATATCCTCGGGTCACTTTTCATGAATATAAGGAGTAGCGCGTTTTCAAAAGTCTTTCTTGTTTCCCATTGTCCTGTACTGTTCCCTACATACAGCCGCTGCCGAGGACACACACACACACACACACACACACACACACACACACACACACACACACACACACACACACATCATTGCTAAAGAAGTAATGGATTTTTTACTAAAGAAGTAATGGATTTTTATTTATTAATTTTTATTATTAATCTGACATCACGTTATTTTTAGTGGATACTCGTATTTGAATAGACGCTCTTTTTATCAAATGCTAAACTACAGTTCCCTCGGCCCAAGGGAACGCAGAGTCGAATCCTGCCCGAGAGCACATATTTTTCTTTAAGATTTCTCGGATATTCAACGGGGCACCTTCTCAGTTACGATTATCCACTAAAAATAATGTTTAACATTGCTGATAATATATATATATATATATATATATATATATATATTTCTTGAATATTACTCGCTTACTTTTTAGGAGACATTGAATTATGACAGTTTCTGTCCTCCGCATGTTTTGACTGATCTTTAAATCACTTCATGAATATTCATGAACGTCCTCAAATTTAAAAGCCTGCATAAACCAATGACATCCTGGCTTAAAAGCCTTGATAAAAATCTCTCAGAGGACAAAATACGTCGGCTAAGAATAGTTTTCCTCTTGTCTTTTTATTTGCGCGCACACACACACACACACACACACACACACACACACACACACACACACACACACACACACACACACACATATATATTTCATCATCTACGAACCACACACAATTGTAATTTACTTTTAAATATTTTTGTCTACCAGTGGTTTTAGGTAAGCTAGAATTAGTGACCATAACAATATATTTATATGCTGAGGTAAATAGATGACTGATTCCAGTGAGGTTTGGAAAGCCTTTGAGTACCTGCTGTCATAAGTAAATCAGTGCAGCATATATCTATCTATCTATCTATCTATGTTTATATATATATATATATATATAAATATATTCATATTATATTGATATATAATGTTAAGATTATGTATATTACTACATACGCACGTTGAAATGAGATGAAATTCATTGGTATTCAATTCCTCAACAAAAATATATAATCTAGTCATAGCAACCAACAATAAATTAAAAATCTTGACAAACAAAGCTGAGCTCTTTTTACCAAATATTTGTTTCAATGATTATATTCGAAGCAGGAAAGATTGACGAATTTAAATAACATATCGATTTCTATGTGAAGAAGTAGAAGCAGATATTTTTCACCTTTAATAACATGTCTATTTTTTCTATTCAATGTTTTAAATAATAAAATTCTTCTCAGCGGAAAGACGGAAAGTAATGGATGTTAGTTCAGAAGGTACTAACACTAAACATGGCCGCGAGTCTTGATTTCAGATCCAAATACAAAGATTTCATTTCTGTATTTCTAAAGAACATACAGATCAGGCGAATATTTCGACTTGCTTTCTAACAGTTAAAGTCAGTCAGAAAGACATTTCCACACTTCGAGGAATGAAAAAGAAAAAAAAATGGGGGGAAAAAAGTTTTTTTTTATTTTCTAAAAAGGCGTTGGAAAAGTATTGTAAACAGTTGTTGGTATGAAATGCAAGTGGGTGGGCTGATAATAAAAAAAGAAGAAAGAAAAACAAAACACCCCATGACATGACTCACAACTTCAATATTCTGGGGTTATGTTTTTTTTTTTTTTGTCTTTTTTGGATGAAGCATTTTCGCTATTATTATTTCCGTTCAATTTTCCCGGATTTGGGAATCTATTATTTCAACTTCGGTTCCAAATTATTGTTTTATCGATTGAGAAAGTAAACGGCCCGAAATCAGAAATGAAGAAGTAGTTTCTGAAAAGACTTCAACTCACACCCGAAAAAAGAGAAAATTTTAATCCTTCTACCATCTTTTTTTCACCGGTTTATGTTGATAACTAAGTAAATAGGAGAAAATATTTGAGATTGAATCATTTTTAATTTCGTTATTCATATTACTAGTTTTACTCAATCGATCATTAAAGTTAAGCAGTGTCGAGCTCGGTCAGGATTTAGATGGGGTACACCGGGTAAGCATTTAACTATAGACATTACTATCATATTTTGTTTGGTTTGGCTTGTTTTGTTTTACGGCATATCAACCTCAATGGGTTATTTAATTCCGACAAGATCTTTATTGCTGTTAATATTTTTTCTTCAAAAAAGTATTTCTAATAATATTATTTTTTCTTCAAAAATGTATTCCTGGTAATTTTTTTCTGAAAAAATTTATTGCTGGTATTAAAACCTATACTTACACTTTCATAGTATTTTGTCCCCAGTTTGGGGGTTAACTATTTGCCCATAGTTGGGAACCTAACAGGTGTTACCAGCCCGGGTCAAGATGGCCCTGGGAATACCAGCAATTAAAAGGTGGTTCCACGCTCCTCAAAACTTGAACAGAGGCCTTGCTGTCGGATGTAGTTTATCGTCTTACCCAGGACGCGGATGTAGTTTATCGTCCAGGACGGGTATTTACATGGAGTACACCGGTTACTATAAGCAGCTTCCTATAATATGAAATATGATTCAGCTTTGAATAACCCACAAAGGGCTGATAATCTGTAAAAAACAAAGAAACAAACAATTTGCTCAATCATATTTTTTATGCTTTTTATCATAACAATCTGGTCAATATAGTCTTCATAATTACAATTATTTTATTAGTAGTTTTATTCCATTTTATTATTTTTGCTTTTTATTGCAGCAGTTTGGGGCGATATACTTTTCATAATTAATATTATTTTATTACTAGCTCTACCTAAACTGGGTCGATACCTTTTCATTGTTACTAATATTTTATAACTAGTTTTATTGTCTTATTTTGTTGCTTTTTAACCCAATACTCTTGGTAGATAGACTCTTCCTTATTATAATTGTTTCATTATTAATTTTACTCTCTATTTGAATCCTAGTACTCTGAGTCATTTTACTTTTTCATTATTATTATTTTATTACTAGTTTGACTCTATCTTATTATTCTTGCTTTTTATTATTAGGACCTTGAATAAGTTCTCAATGATTTTTTATGAAAAGTAATGTTTTATTTACAAACATTAGTAAGAAACATATCACTGAAAGTATTGTCCATTACTAGCCACTACTTTTTCCTATCTTTCTGGCCGCATTTGAATTCCACGTCAGAAAAACGACACGTCTTCTGAAGTTAACCACTCGTCGACCCATTTTTTAGCATCTTCATAAGAATTAAAGTGCTGCTCAGCCATGCCATGTGCCATCGATCGGAGCAAGTGATACTTGGACGGGACAATGTCTGGTGAATACGGCGGGTGGAGTAGGACTTTCCATTTAAACGTTTCCAAGTAGGTTTTCACCCGTTTTGCAACATGTGGCCTAACATTGTCATGTTGCAAATTTACTTTGTCGTGCCTATGCCCGTATACCGACCGTTATTTGTTAAACGCTCGGCTCAAATGCATCAATTGTATTTGATATTGATCTCCCGTGATGGTTCCGGTCGGTTTGAGCAGCTCATAATAAACTACTCCAAGCTGATCCCACCAAATGCATAGCAGAAGATTCGAACCCTGGATATTCAGCTTTGCCGCCGATGTTGATGGCTGGCCGGGCTTACAACACGATCTTCTACGCTTAGAGTTATCGTAGTGTATTCACTTTTAACCGCCGGTCACGATACAATGCAAAAAAACTGTCTTTTTCTGTCGTTGAATCAACTGTTCTGTAACAAGACGCCGTTCGACGTCTCTCGGCTTCAACTCGTATGGCACCCAATGTCATTGTTTTTGAACCATTCCTAATGCTTTCAAACGTTTCGAAATAGTTGTGTGATCAATTCCTAATGATTCTGCAAATTCAGCTTGCACCTGACATGAGTCTTCATGAAGTAATGCCTCCAATTCTTCAAACTTTTTCGGTGCGCAAGAGCATTCTTTATCTTCAACATCAAAATTATTATTTTTGAAGCGTCTAAACGAATCTCTGCATGTTGTCTCCGACAGAGCATGGTCGCCGTAAGTCTCAACAAGAATTCTGTGTGTTTCAGCTGCAGATTTCTTATGAATAAAGTAGTGCAGTAAAATTCCCCGCAAATACATTTTCTTTGGCACGAAATCCGACATGTTTAACGCTATGAAAAACGAAGCTCTTTACACTTCGGCTAAATGATATACAATTTAAAGCTTGCCTATAGTACTTACTTATAGATACATTACCATCTGAAACACGCACGTAGTTCTTGGAACGCCATATGTTGGAAAACAGCGAGAACTTATTCAAGATCCTAACACAACACTCTGTGTTTATAATATCTTTTCGTTATTATAATTATTGATTTTATTCCAACATTTTGAGTCAATACGGTCTTCAACAACTAAACATTACTATATATATATATATATATATATATATATATATATATATATATATATATATATATATATATACGCGGTACATGGTACTTAGTGGAAATTGCTCAATATCTATGATACAGCTTGTAACTCCGGTTTCACGCTTTTGCGATCATCAGAGTTTGTCTGATGATCGCAAAATCTGAATACATACATATATATATATATATATATATATATATATTCTGTTAGGAATACGCGGAGATCAATAGATTCTTATATTTTCGTATAAGCTTGAAGTCTTCCATGTTATAAAGTAAATCAAAGATGATTTCAAAATATTAGATAAGCTCAATGGAATGATTTTCTCATATAAACAGTTCGTTAAGAAATTCTTTCTGTTCTTATCGGAATACGCGGAGATCAATAGATTCTTATATTTTCATATAAGCTTGAAGTCTTCCATGTTATAAAGTAAATTCAGGTTTGTATTTCCAGTAGACAGCATGTAAGCAAATATATGGATATAGATCCGACAGTATGAAGAAAAATATACGGAAAAAACAAACAAAAATCCTAATATGCAATTATGCAGTTTTAATGTTAATATAATGTCAGGCGATTTTGTAAAAACGTATTCGAAGATGATTTCAAAATATTAGATAAGCTCGATTGAACGAATATTTCGCTTGAAGATGAAATGGAACTAATGCTTTTAATTTAATTACAAAATTAATTTGTAGTTTTTAGTTTCCATTTTTGAAACATGTTTATTACTGTGTAGCGAAAAAACCATATTTTAAATCAGTTAATTTATAATATTTATGCTCTGTAATTTTATATTGAGCACTCTTTTGTAAAAATAAAAAAAGTATCAATAAGAACACCGGATTATATATCTTACTGTTCTTACTTTTTATATATATATATATATATATATATATATATATATATATATATATATATATATATATATATATATATGTATATACATATATAACATGGACTTGTATCTCAGGTATGACTCCTTTGTTCTCCTTCTCTTGATATCAGCCTTTTTACCAAGTACCTACAGAAATAATTTTTTTTTTTATATATTCCTAATTCGACGCATTTTTTTCGTAGGATTTGATTTTCGTAAAGGTTGAATTGGAGATTAATTAGAAGATTATGCTCTAATTAAAAAACTATAATTACAAAACAAAGAAATGAATAATTGTGTTATTGTCATAGCGACAGAATTATAAAGACAACAATGAAAATGAATGTTTCATGTTATGAAAGTCAATTTAGAAGCTGTGGTTCATCGCTTGATTTTGTGAGTTGTTGCATTTCTTAATATGAAACAGATTGCACAGAATATAGAACAACAAGAGCGATTGAAGTGTGTAGATGTCTGTGAGAACCATCCTTCATCGAAACGTTAGTGAATAACAAACAAAGAATTGTACCAGTTAACAGAAACTAAATTAACTGACATTCAGCAGCGGCAAAAACAAAAATGAGCAGCACATGTTTACTCACCGAGAGAATAATGGCATAATCAAGATGTTGACGTTCGACTCGACCACAAACAAAAGTCAAGGAAGGAAACTCCCATCAATACTGGTAAGAGTATTAGCAACGACTCTTTTTTTTTTACTGAATAATTGTTTTTAAGATAAAGATTTTGTATATATATATATATATATATATATATATATATATATATATATATATATATATATACAACCTTCATTAAAAATGATTGACAACGTACTGCAGTTGATTATTTCATTTTTCTTGTTTTTGTATAATAAAACTTGTATAAAAAGAGGATTGCGGCCTAAATACACAATTATATATATATATATATATATATATATATATATATATATATATATATATATATATATATATAAGTGAATTAGTAATTCATTTATTTTAAATCGAGCCACGCCTCGAAGTACTGCTAGTGTGTATAAAAGATACAAGGTTAAAACCCCCTCTCTTTTATCTTCGAAACTGTGATCAGGATAGATTCACTTTCTAAATTTGTTTCAGTTATTTTCGTCGTGACATATTTTTCATTCTAGAATATTCCACAAATATAAGCCCTCCCCCCGACCGTTTTTTTTATCTTTCTGCCTCTTATTCAACTATTTTTCTGGTCCCTCGACATCTGTCTTTTCATCTTACCGCCCACTGTTCCCTACCCACCCCTCTTTTTCTCCGCCCTCATTGTAAATTCTTTTCTTTCTTTTTTCTTTTTTTTTTTAACATGATGAGTTTATCCTTGAATAAAAGAATTTCCAA